GCGTGAAAAGTAATAATAAAGCTGAGGTTGCTCTGCAGGCTGAGGTGGCAACCAAGTAATAGGACGCCGGAAGGGTGAATGCCCGGGTCTTGGAGCCGCGCGGGTTAGGAGCTTGAGTCTCGACCCGTGACAAGTGGTATCAGAGCCAGCCCTATACCGTTCGATCCACGCCGAGCGCCTCGAGGGAGGTAGGCAGGGTGGCCGGCCTTCGTGACGAGGGCGTCACGAGGTTGGGTGCGGGAGAATGTCACGGACCCAAGGGGGAGTCCTGAATCCCACATCGAACATAATAGGAAGGTCACTGGGGTATAAAAGGGTTCACACCATCTCCGCCTTGTGAGGCGCCTTTTGTAGGACAAAACCGTGAGGCCAGGGGGGCCAGAGCGGACAATACCTCACAAGGGTGTGAACCGTGGCGGAAGGCTGATCTGGGACGCCGGAAGGGTGAATGCCCGGGTCCTGGAGCCGCGCGGGTTCGAAGCTTGAGTCTCGACCCGTGACAAGAAATGTCACGGACCCAAGGGGGAGTCCTGAATCCCACATCGAACATAATAGGAAGGTCACTGGGGTATAAAAGGGTTCACACCATCTCCGCCTTGTGAGGCGCCTTTTGTAGGACAAAACCGTGAGGCTAGGGGGGCCAGAGCGGACAATACCTCACAAGGGTGTGAACCGTGGCGGAAGGCTGATCTGGGACGCCGGAAGGGTGAATGCCCGGGTCCCGGAGCCGCGCGGGTTCGGAGCTTGAGTCTCGACCCGTGACAAGTGGTATCAGAGCCAGCCCTAAACCGTTCGATTCACGCCGAGCGCCTCGAGGGAGGTAGGCAGGGTGGCCGGCCTCCGTGACGAGGGCGTCACGAGGTTGGGTGCGGGAGAATGTCACGGACCCAAGGGGGAGTCCTGAATCCCACATCGAACATAATAGGAAGGTCACTGGGGTATAAAAGGGTTCACACCATTTCCGCCTTGTGAGGCGCCTTTTGTAGGACAAAACCGTGAGGCTAGGGGGGCCAGAGCGGACAATACCTCACAAGGGTGTGAACCGTGGCGGAAGGCTGATCTGGGACGCCGGAAGGGTGAATGCCCGGGTCCCGGAGCCGCGTGGGTTCGGAGCTTGAGTCTCGACCCGTGACAAATACACTAGACTTATGAATGACCTGTTTCAGACGAGGAAAGACAAGGAAATGTGGCGATCAGAGAAAATGGAAGAAGCCAGCGCGTGCTCCTAACCAAACCCAACAAAAAAACAGTGAAATTAGTGGGAGAGACGAATAAAGCCGAGGAATCAGGAAATGATTTTATGAAGGTGGAAGGGCAACAAAAAAAGGGCAGGGTTGAGACAAACCAAGCACAAAATGAAAGCCTTAGCATGGAACGGCCATGGGTTTGGGAACCCACGAACAGTTCGTTCTCTTAACAAGTTGATGAAGAAGGAAGATCTTGATATTGTGTTTTTGAGTGAAACAATACTGCAAGTTTCAACTTTTGACAGAGTTAAGAGAAAATGCAAAATGAATTCAATGTTGGAGTTAGTGCTGTGGGAAGAAGTGGTGGGCTGGTGATGATTTGGAAGGAGGATATTGGGCTTAATTTACTCAGCTTCTCTAAGTGCCACATTGATATGGAAATCTCAGATCAACATAGGAAGGATTAGAGGATCACAGGCTTTGTTGCCCTTAAATTGTATATGAGTAAAGTCTATGATAGAGTAGAGTGGTCATTTTTAGAAGTTATGATGCGGAAGTTAGGTTTCCGTAACCAGCGGTTGTCCCTCGTTATGCAACGCATTACAACTGTTTCTTATTCTATAGTCCTTAATGGTGACATCACAAACAAGTTCTATGCAGAACGTGGCCTGCGACAAGGAGACCCTCTCTCACCATATTTGTTTCTATTATGTATGGATGGTTTTCAGCTTTGTTGTCGAAATAACAAAGAGAAGGTTTGATAAGTGGAGTATGTGCTAGCAGGAATGGCCCTAGAATCACTCACTTGTTCTTCGTAGATGATAGTGAGCTATTTATTAAAGCAAACAGTGGAAGAGTGAGAACGTGCTACAGAGATATGAGGACAGTTCCGGCCAACAAGTCAACTTGAAAAAATCATTACTATATTTTAGCAGTAATGTCAGAGAGGATTGCCGAGAGGGTGTTAAACAAATCTTGGATATCCAAGTGACATGATGTCCAGAGAAGTACTGGCAACCATGGTGGGAAGAAATAAGAAAAGAACATTTAGAGACATAAAAAATAGAATCTAGATGAAGATTGAACAGTAGAGCGATCGGACTTTGCCCAATGGTGGGAAAGAGATTTTCATCAAATCGATTCTTCAAGCCATACTGTCCTATGCTATGAGCTGTTTTCTATTTCCAAAAGGGCTACGCAGGAAATAATGGTTTAATTAGTAACTATTGGTGGAGATCTAAACCTGAAGGGAAAGGTTTGCATTGGTTAAACTGGGATCAAATGTGTATAAACAAAGGGATGGGTGGAATGGGATTTAGAAATATTGAACATTTCAACCGTGCTTTACTTGCAAAACAAGGGTGGAAGTTGGTAAAATATACTGACTCATTGGTTTACAAAGTTCTCAGGGCAAAATATTTCCTAAATGGTAACTTCATGGAAGCCCCAATTGGCCGAAATCATTCTTTTATGTGGAAGAGCATCTGGCTGGCTAGAGACGTCTTGAACTCAAGACTAAAATGGAAGGTGGAAGATGGGAATAGCATCCAAATTTGGGGTGATAAGTGGCTGCCAACAAACAGGGCCGTCAGTCCTTACAACAGTATTCAAGACCAGCTATGAGCAAATGTGAGGGTGGGTGAGGTGATAGATCATCACACAAAAAACTGGAAGGTGGATTTGATACACAGAATGTTCACAACAGATAATTGATTTGCACAATTCCCTTGAGCAGGTTTCACCACAAAGATGTGCTAATATGGAGCTTGGAGAAAAATGGTTTATTCACAATGAGAAGCACCTACCATATGTTGATGTCAAGCCAGCCAGAAAACCGAATTGTCCTCAACCAAGGAAGAGAACCAAATGATGAGCTGGATACAAAATTTTGGAAAAAGTTACACAGCAAAAATCCCAAGTAAAATTAAGATTTTTGTGTCGAAGTTGAATTATAGTTTCTTGCCTGTTTTTAGTAACCTGAGTAAGATGAGTATTGATGTTAATCCAACTTGCCTAAGATGTGGCCGATATGAAGAAATTGTTGCGCAAGCAATCTGGGAATGTGCCCATGCTAAGGCGATGTGGAATTGCACTGACGTATCCCCATAAATGGAGAGATAGGAAGCATGGCACTGACAAAGAGTGGCTCAGTGTAATTTGCAAAGGAGGTTGAAAATGAAAGCTTTGAATCTGGTTTGGTGCTCAGCTGGGCTATGTGGCATGGTAGGAACTTGGCTGTCAAAGCTAACGAGAAGCGAACGCCGGTGGCCATCGTGCAGTTTGCCAGTGTTACTTAGATGAGTATAGGAGAGCCAATGAAAGAACAGTTGAATATGGTGTGTAAAAGCCATCTTGATTGCCAAATATATGGGTTTTTCTTCCGTTATTGTCAAGGGAGATGAATTGCAGGTAATCAACGGATTGAACTCAGCAACAGAAGACATGTCAGCTATTGGAAACTTAACGGAAGATGCTCAAGCCATAGGCGCCAACTTGCTGTCTATGAAGGCGATTCATGTCAAGACAAATTCTAATGAAGCAGCACACACGCTAGCCAAATATGCACCAGGATTAGTATCCATAATGGTTTGGTTGGAGGAATGCCTTTCTATCATTCAAGACATTGTTAACTATGAATGGAACGATTTTAGTGGAAATAAAATTACCCACCTCAAAAAAAATAATAATGTTATTTGAAAAGTAATCTACTTTTGAATCATCCATTTTAAAATAGTGAATAGGAGCAAAATAGTTGACTTAAACGGGAGCATATGGTCTATTTTGGCATAAAAGGAAAACAAATTTTGCAACTTATTTAGTTTTAATTTTAATTTTTAATTATGACTTTTGAAAAATCAATCATACATTACCACATTATATTTTTCTAACTTTCAAAATAAGATTTATCACACTTAATTCCTTCAATACCCTGTCACAATTCCACACCATAAATTTCCTCGTCTTTTTATTATTATGCATCCTCAATTCATCTCTTCCTTTCTTTTGTAATCAATATTTCACCCACCTGACTATTTGCCCATTTCAATTTTTTTTCAAATTTTTTAATTTAAAATTAAATATGAAAAATCTTTAACATGGTTAAATCTTTAATTGAGAGATAAAAAATGAAGGTGAGAATAAAAATACCGAATAAGGAAATTACTAAAAAATATTAAAAGGAAAAGTTTACATTTTTTTTGCACCCATGAGGTTTTCAAAATAAAAATGCCTTAGGCAAATTTTGCTCTCATCGTTGCAATTCGTACGTGAATTTGGACGTGAGAAGAGGAATTGTAACTTTTGTGAAAACCCACCTCTTAAAAAAAATGGGTAAATCACTTGGACTAAGTATCGAATTCAATCTTGATAGAATTTTATTCTTTTATATTAAATTAGATTGGAATAAAGGGGCAAACTGGACTATTTTCATTACAACACTAATCAAATGCTTTTAATAAACAAAGAAATGCAGTTTTCGTCTTCACTCTCCAACTTATTATACCTTGAAATCTTCTCAGTGTCATTGTTAAGGACGGCATCTGGTTTAGTCTTCGAATATCCGGAAGTATATCTCCTTTGATATCCTCAAGAATCTTCCCCAATCTCTACCAAAACCAGACAAATTACATGGGAAATGCAAGAAAAGAAATTAATACTCTTCAACAAATTAATTAAAACTACAATCATTGCCCTTTGGATAACACATCTCCATCTCCATGCTATGCTTCTGTCATAAACCCATCGATGTTTTCTACACCTAAAACCCATATATAGGATCTCAAAGACAAGCAGCTTCAAATAAAAGACCTATATATGGAGATCAATACTCCTCCTTCACCATCCCATGTTGTTATAGCAATTGATGCGACTAAGGATCGTAACGAACGTGAGTTTAGAGTTACCATAAATAATATACGAGTAAGGGGTGACATTCTTCGTGGTGGGGATACGCTCCTTGTACTTGGAGTTCTGCATAGAGTCACTCACCCTTGTAAGTGCTCGTCTTTCATCATATTTTTCTTCTTCGTAGCAGTAAAAGCGTTCTGACTTTTTGTTTTTCCCCTTCTTCTTTGTGTAGTTTTATGTTGGCAATTAATGATTATTTTTTATATCTCAATTTGGATTTGAAATGTAATTATGAAAAACTTTTATACATGGAATGAACTTTCTTTCTATTATTGTTAAGCATTCACAAAAAAAAAAAAAAAAAAACACTCAATTCAACCTCGAGATGAAAAAAAAATTAAGAAAATAAAAAATCAATTTGAAATCGTAATGTTTAGTTTAGATGGTATTTAGTTTTTTCATTCGATTCAATTTAAATTTAAATATTAAATATTTTTATTAGGTTGAATCAAAAAGTAAAAAGATTAAAAATATTCGAATTGAATTATATATTTTTATTAATAATATATTTTTTAAATTTTTATAAATAAAATAATTATTTTATATCCAAATTTATTTAAATATATTAAAAATTATATTAATAATCTCAAAAAAATTTTAAAAATAAATTTAAAAAAATTGATAAACATAACTAAATTAGTAAAATTTATTTTGGATTAATTCAAAGAAAAAATGGTTCAAATTCATATTAAATTTTGAAAATCCATAATACTATTCAATATTTTTCAATAAATCAAATCGAACCTGATCCTATCCTTACTGTTATCTCTCTTAAAATCCAATATAAGACTATAAAAAATTTAATTTTTAACAAATATAGAATAACATTATTTTAACACAATATTTAACATTATTTTGTTAGAGTTTGAATATAAAACCATATTAAATTTAATAATTAACAAATGTAGTATAACCCCATATTCACATAATATTTAATAGATATGAGATAACAACATTTTATCAAACAAACTCTTTTGTAGAGAATGAATTAAATAACAAAAAAAATTTACACTCATACTATATTAATCGTCCAACATAAAATTAATTGATTATAAATAGTTACACCACTTTAGCGCAACACTTAAATCACAAATTACTTTAACAAGCCTTTCATATGTAGGCCTAACCAATGGATAAGAAACTTAGAAGCGTATAAAACAAAAATCATATAATAGTAAAGGGTGTCAAATAGGCCGTGTGACTAGCATAACTCATTTAAATATTAGCTCATATATTAATGAATCACGTTGATCCAACATTATTTTTTAATGCCTTGTACTAGCATGGCCTACTAAGGTTAAAGAAATAATTCAACATAACACATGTCCCATAATCTTCATAGGTCCTGTCGTACCAGGTACATTACTATTTTTCGAACCAAGCTAAGCCAAGCATAGCCCATTATTATTTTTTTCAAAATTTCAATTATTTTTTTAAAAAATCATCTATTATTATTAAAATTAACATGCAAGAGATAATAAACATATAATAAAATAAAAAATATATAATTTATGTGGTTCAATAAAATATCTATATTTACGGAGATAAATACTATAATTTATTAAATAAAGATATTAAATTTGTAATTCTAATATTTTTTAAAAAATACACACATATCATCTATCAATGCCCAATAATATGCATATAATTAAAGTTTAGTTGATTGGTCCATATATCTGAAGTGAAATTTAAAAAAAAAAATTTATAAACTATATATTAAATTTTCTTTATAAGAAAAAAATATTTTAAAAGTCATTCGATCTAGCAATATTTTTGAAACTGTTTTATAATGGATAGTATACTATTTCTAATTAAATCATTAAAATATTCACTATCTCTAAAACCAAACGATTGCTCAAATTGCACTATAAATTTAATTAATTAACTACATCAATTATTTTGTAAAAAATGAAATGCACCTAAAGACCCATTAAGATATTAACTAAGCATAACTTGTGTGTGATCATTAGAAGTGACAAAAGAGCCTGTACTTTTTTTTATGTTTTCTTAAGATAATCAGTCCCTCTTTTCATTTTATAACTAAAATCTTATATATATATATATATATATATATATATATTATAGGTTTGAAATTTTTGATAATATAATTTTAAAAATAATGTTAGTTTATTTTTATACACACAAATTTAAATGAATAAATATAATCTATGTATAGAATGATTCACAAATTAGTTAGATATAATTTATTTATCAATAATTTAAATATTTAATAAGTAAATTTATTAATATAAGTTTATTTTATAAATTACAAAACAATAAATATAATTTCATTAAAATATAAAAAATAAGAAGAATACACTCAATGACCATAAAGTTCATTTATACACATTTGCATTTATATTGTAATACCTTAATCCCACATCAAGATCCTTTGAAAATTTGCTATAATATATATAGAGGCTTAAACCTAAATCTATAAGGTATATTTTGTGAGATAAAATCATAAGACTTTCGGATCAAAGCAAATAATACCTCATAAGTTTAATGCAAATCTCCACAAATGGTATCTTGCGAGAGTTACTTTTAGAATCCTAATATCTTGTGTGTGATTTGTATGTGCTTTGTATTGGGTTTACCCAATGTTTAGTGTGATTCAATGGATCTATATCTTTTGTGTTGAGCTTGATGGGGATATCTTTGTGTTGAGCTTGACGGGGATATCAAGTTTTAACGAGAAGAATTTGTAACGCATCAATCCCACATCAAGACATTTTAAGGTTATGCTATAATACATATGTAACGACTTATATCCAAATTTATGAGATCTTTTTAGTGAGACAAAATCTAAAAACATTTAGATTAAAGTGAATAATCTATTACAAGTTGAATGTGAATCTCTACGTATATATTGTGCCTTGCTAGCTCACATGCCATGTATTGACACTGACATACCAATCCATAAATTTATGAACTTTTAACTCAACACATCACATATATATGTATCATACTTGGCTCAACTCAATTATTTTACAACGGTCAAATACAAATCATACCAAACTAAATCGTATTGAGCCATGGCCGTCGAACCCATTTAAGCGAGTCATCCAAACTAAAACCATACATATAGGTGACGCGCCAACTGCGGAGCACAGTATATATTGTGAGAGAGAACTTGTTCAACCTTAATCACATATGCGTATTATCAAGTGGTCAAACAATGGTGATCGCCTGCATTTTTGTTGAATCTATTTTTTTTTATTTAGTTGCTTGATGAAATTACATATACAAAATTAAATATATATATATATATATATAACATGTATAAACTCACTGTTGTGTTGTCCTTTTTATGTTCCCTTCTCTTGAGTTCTTTTCCGGGTTGGTGTAGTGGGTTACCAAAGCAAACCATGTCCAGAATTTTTTGGAACAAGCATCCGCGCAATGGAGGAAGAAATCTCAAAGAAGGTTGATGCATATGTAAATATGCTCCAATCAAGTGCTGATGATTGTGAAGACCAAGGGGTAATTTTTCTTATATTATTTTCCTTAGATACAATTTTCCTTTCATTTTTCTAATAATAAGAAGGTAATTGACTGTATAGAACACACAGGTTCACTGTCACTTCTCACTCACTGATGTTACATTAGGGTGGCTTCCCAACATAGCAGAATCAGGTTGCATGTTGATCTATTCTGCACTGTTAAACCTATGATTGGTTCCATAATTGCAGCTACTTAATTTCAAAGAATAGATTTTTTTTTTTAATTTTTACCTTAAGGAACTAATTTCACAAGCCTTGTTGATTAATGCACAGAGCATTTGACAGTCAATTACCTATTTGGCTAGGAACTAATACTTGATATAATGAATATATTTCAATAATGGCATATATCCCTTTTCCTGAATGATTCACATTTAGGACAGTTCCTTGAATTCAAACTCTGTAATTATGCCCATTCACTATGTTGGGATGCACATATTTATGTGGTTAACTTAAATATAACAATCTAGAGATATATCAGTCGGAAAAAGGTTGACAAGAAATGATAACAATATTTGTTTAGTAATACATCCAACAGTTTGGTTTATGATGTGGTGCCATCAGACAAAAATTAAAAGGCTAGATCTTGGGATGTTTTTATCAACCTGGAGGTCCCTATCCCAGGATAAATCCTAGGAAGAGGAGATGGGTGGGATGGAGGTAGACCATCCCTTGTTTTGTAGCCCAAGAATCAGTAGACCTCTGGACGATAAAAAAAAACAGCATCTCTTGCTTAACATGTGATACTTTTAATCTGAATTTTCCACAGGTTCTGTCAAGGGACTCTCTTGGTCTATTCAATTCCTTTTTCTTTGAGACAACGTAATCCAAATTCCATTATCCCTCTATGATGTTGGACAGCAGGAGAATGTGTCACCAAATGTCATAGTTCCTTGGACAAATCCTCTGTGGAGATGATATGGAAAATAACATCTTGTTTAGTTTGGTTTTTCCCCTCCTAATATAACTTACCTCATATGTTAAAATTGAGGAGGCTTCCTTAAAAGGGTTCATTGATATACTATAGATGTAAACTTATATCCGAGCAAAAGTTAAATGAATCCTATATAGGTCTATCCTAATTGCAAACACTGCCCAGTTGGAAGCAGCATGCACAGATTTAATCTGAATTCTGAACCCTCCCCCCACTTCTTAATTTTATTTTACTTTCTGTTAGTAGTTAGTAATACTAACACTTTTTCAATGCTTAGGTAACCATTGACGTTAAAATTACAGCTGGAATTCCCATAAGGAATGTTATTCTACAAGAGGTGCTTACCTCTAAGGCAGCATGGGTTGTACTTGATAGGTAAATATATTGTTTTCTGGAGATATCTATATATATTTATATGGATCATCATTTACCTTTGATATTTTCATAATTATTTCTTTTATGTTGACTCACGAAAATTATTCCGTTACTAAAGAAGGTTTTCCAACCCTCATCTACTTTGACACGATACTTGTGGTTGCTTTTGCTATTTCTCATATATCAGAATGTAGCGTAGTCGATATATCATCTCCAATATTGATTTCAAAATGGAAAAAGAAATTACTGTCCTTTTTATTTGCAAAGACAGAAAGATTTGCTTGTTTACTTTCTTCTTTTTAATCTAGAAGCTGATTTAACTTGGTATCAAATTTATCATTGCACTAGCAATGCCACTAACAAATACAACCTGCACATCTTGTAAATTCAAATGCGATAGTACGATTTACGATGAAAGCATCCAAGTGATTATATTATATGTCTGAAACTTTAGCTGCTTCCACTCTGTATTCCTTTCACTTATTCATGACTTACAATCTCATCAGGCACCTTAGACGGGACTTGAAGTTTTATGTTAAACAGATACCCTGCAAGGTTGCATTAGTTCAAGATAGCTTGAATGTGGACATTATGAGAAATCAAACCATAAGTGCAACAGATGATGTAGAACACAAGGAGTTTTATTCCATGTCCAGGCCTGTACCCCTATCAAATCTTCACATTAGTGAAAATATCGATCAGTCAGAATTCTCTGTTAGAAGCTATTCCTGGAACATGAGTTCCTTTGAAAATTCCAAAAGCGGCCACTTGATTCCTTCATTTACAGTAAAATCAGAGGAGCACAATTTTTCATCAGATGTTGGGTCTTCTTCTAAGCAGGAAAAATCAGGTAATTTAGCCGTGGCAATTTTACATAACTAGACATAGTATATTGCTTTTCAGATTCAATTCCAAACCTCGTGCCATCTGTATGGAATGATTTCTTCCTTTCTTTTCCTTTAAGCATCTAAGTAGTACTGAGGTAAAACATAGATTTTGATTTATGACCTTCCCAAGATATTTCACTTTATCCTCAGACACTCTCATATAGTAAATTTGTATTACCTATCATACATGATAACTTATGGTATCCTACTTTAGCATTAGCAATTGTGGATCAGTTCCCTCACCATTAACGAAGAGTATATATATCTTTTACTTTCAGATAGACATACCAAAGGAGAAAACAAGCAACGTACTGCTTTAAATGTTGTTCAAAAGCAACAAAGAAGTGCCCTCCACAATAAATACTCAGGAGCACCTCTTCTTTGTGCTGCTTGTGGGATAAGGACTGAATTGTATATCCAAGATTCTGTGGCATTCACTTGTTCTGAGATTCAACAAGCCACTGATGACTTTGCCAAGGGGAACTTGCTAGGAGAAGGTGGATATGGTCTTGTATATAAGGGTAAGCTTAAAGATGGACAGCTGATAGCAGCAAAGGTATGGAAACAAGAAAGTACCCAAGGATTTGCTGAATTTAGTTCTGAGGTATCTGTCTTAAGTTTCGCTCGTCATAAGAACATTGTCATGCTGCTGGGTTATTGTTGCAAGGAGAACCTCAATATTTTGGTATACGAGTATATATGCAACAAGTCTCTGTATTGGCATTTATTTGGTAATTAACAAATATTTTAAAGAGCCAAATTGATTTTAACTATCATCTTTTCTTTTTTTCTGTTTCTGTCATTAAAATTTCTAAACTGAATACCTTCTTTAAATTTTCTATATGTTTGGAATTGGGGACATTTACACAGATAATGCAGAAAATGTTCTTGACTGGCACCAAAGACGTGCTATCGCAATTGGCACAGCAAAGGGATTGCGTTATCTACATGAAGAATGCCGCGGAGGTCCTATTATTCATAGGGACATGCGTCCAAGCAATATACTGCTCACACATGACTTAGTTCCAATGGTAAATTATGTTTGTTAATGTTTACAATTATTATGAAGAGGTAACTAAGATACTTTAGTTATTCAAACTACCAATGAGTTTAGTATCGAATGTGCAATATCTCAGTCTGACTTCAAAAGTAGCAACATGAGTTCACTTATTCTTTATAACATAAACCATTCATATAATTAACCACGTATCAGCATTTGATTAAGGTAAAGTCCATGGTAGCCACTCATGCACTTTATTAAACATATTACTTGCATCATTCTTTTTTAGCTAATGGAGCAGTAACAGCAAGAGAAAACCTTTTAACTCAATATAATGCAATATGGTTTGTAAGCTTAGCAAAATTTGGTCCTCTTTTTCCATTGTTTCCAACCAAATCCTTACCAGTCCTTTTCTCTTTCTCTTGACTTGGGTATCTCTATTAGATCAGCTCTCTCATGGAGGCTTGTAGATCTACTCAATTACATGTCCAAACTATCTTCAACTTGCTTCCCTCATTTTCTCCTCAATGGACCATGTGCATTCATTTTTAATCTTTGTCTTTGCTTGTGTATGCCTATATATCCATGCCCTTTTTGCATGTATTGATACTTTCTCAGCTTAAGCAATCAATATATTGGTAGCATAATGAGGCATTAAATCACATAACCTCTCAAATTAATAAACACATATAGTCCACATTGTTGAAGAAAAATTAGGCCAACATTTTCATAAGGGTTATCAGTTGACTGCCTGCTAAAGTGAAAAGATTGTCCCAAATCATGTGGAAATTTCTATATCGAAGCTGATTTGTTGTTAACTTGTTGTTAACCTTGCTAACAAGTATATGTCTAACTGTTCTCATTATATGAACAACCAGTAAGGCTTTTCTTATGCTTCTCATACTAAATAATAATTTTATGTAATAAATCAAATGATTGTTGTGATAATTAATTAATGTGCGACAGGATCTCCAGGATGTATACGTTTCTCCTTTTGGTCCTTTCTTTCAATTGTTGTTAGCATATGATTTTTGCAACAAGGTGAAAAAAATTTTTATATGAATCTGCACGCTCACAGAAATGATTTTTTCTACACGCAGCTAGGTGACTTTGGTCTTGCCAGATGGAAGATAAATGATGATACTTTACAGACAAAAATTCTTGGAACATTAGGGTAGGACTTCTATGAGTTCTCAATTCTTTTTCAGACCGTATGACATTGATGTATCGATTATAGCCTGATTTTCTAGTTAAACTAGTGTAAGTGGACCTTTGGTTTATGTAGTTACCTTGCTCCGGAGTATGCAGAGAATGGATTTGTTTCAGTGAGGACAGATGTCTATGCATTCGGGATAATTCTGCTACAACTAATATCAGGACGTAAAGTAATTGATCTGAAAAGCAAAGGAAAACATTTGTCTCTAAGACAGTGGGTATGTTGTTCTCAGTGGCCAGAACTTTAAGTGCTTCTCACATTTTCTATGTTTTGCTTTACATGCAGATCAGTCATTGATCAGCTTTTACTTGTTTTCATTGCTTTGATGCTATTTGACCATTTAGGCAGAACCATTGATCGAAAAGCTTGCTCTACATGAGCTCATTGATCCTCGTATTAGGGATACATATGACACATATCAACTGTACCTCATGGCTAAGACAGCTTACTTATGCGTGCAAGAAAGCCCTGAAATGAGGCCATCAATGGGGGAGGTAATGACTCTTGATGCATACCATATAATCATCTGAACTTATTTTAAGTTGCTTCTTTATTTCTAAGGGAAGTGGGGTGCAAGTTAAATAAATTATATTCAAAACAAGAGCACTATCATATAGATTATTTTGCTAATGATATCTCGAATTTAACTAACACATCTCAACAGAATCACAGGGCCACCAAACACAGCAGACAAGCTTACTCAATTTCAACCAAGTTTAGCATTCTAAACACTGAAATTATATTACATTCAGCATAAAGTGCCAACAAACTAGTTACTATCTTTATGAACTTCTTGTGAACTGATAATCAACCTGCCAAATCCAACTGATGATTTTATTCCAACTTTCGGCTGAACCACCAATCGAAATGTTACCACTGGTATCATGAGAAAACCAAAGAGATACATTCCAGCTCAATCTGTAAAATTTTTTGTGAGATTCAAGCCAGAGCCCATACAGTGCAACAAAAGCAAACCTGTTAAGCCAGCTGATAGAATTACTAGCTATACAATTCTGTTACTACATAAGGTCAGCTATCCGGTATTGAAAGACTTTTTGACAGATGTGTGACAAATTCTCTCTCCTAGGATAGGCTTAGAAGCCTGCCTGCATGGTATATATGATAAGAATACAAACTATGAATCATTGTATACTGGTCAATGTACTTCTTTTCTTTAGTAAACATGTGTGCACAAGGGAAAAAAATAAATAAAACCAGAAAATATCTGCATGATTGGAGAACATGGTGTCTTCTGAATTCTGATCATAAACGTTTCCATCCTGTATCCATTAATTCCCTGTTTGAATATTAATATAGAATTGATGGGTTATCCCACAGGTTTTGCGCCTTCTTGAAGGAGAAAACAATCAATTCCACCACTTGAAGGAAAAGTTTGTACCTCGTTATACAAAGCGATGAAGAACTACTTTAGTCACATTTTCTAGATGGTACCGTTTTATTTTTTTGTATTGTAGCCAATAACTTTTGTACATGGTCATTATTAGAATTTCATCGCAATTAGGATTTCAAAGCATGCATGTGAATATTTTCCACCATCAACATAAAGAAAAGGAAAAACCGATGTGTCATATCGTTCTTCAATTCACCAGTCTTAGTAATGCATGTGAACACTACTATAGTGTAAAAGGAAAAACCGATGTATCATATTATTTTTGGAATCACAGTCTTAGTAATACATTTGGACACTGTTATAGTCTAGCATCTCAATTTCACTGGCTTGTCCCTGACTGACACTTTGTTATTAGAACTGGATTAGATTGTAAGCATCTTGTAAATATGAGCATGCAGATATGATTAATTGGTAGAGGTACTAGTTGTCATTTGTGAGTGTGTATATATAACAGAATATTGTAGCTGTGATATACTACCCCAACCTGAAATCTGTTTTTGGAAAGAATTTTCCTCCCAGCTAAGTGATATATGTTTATAACTGATCCGAGCACTATTCTTTCATTTGAAATGAAAAATCTCAATAGACATCATTCTGTTGGTAATTAGTTGCAGAGAGGTTGAAGGAACATTTGTGCCTAATTGACTAATCCTTTGCTTTTATTTTCCCCAGATATGTGAATGCAATATGTAACTAGGTTTTCTGACTTGGGTGCAGATGCAAATCTTGTCTGACTTTTTCTCAGAATCAACAGCAGGATAGTACTTATCCAAACTAACCTTATATGATTATGAGGACATTATTAGGCGTAAGGCATTGACTGCAACAACACAGCAAAAAGAAAAATCCTGAAAAGCCCCTGCGGCCGGCACCAACCGTAGGGATAAGGCTCCAACAGGCAGGGTGGAATGGCAATGACAGATGCAACACTCCAGGCATGTTGCCAAGCAACCCAAGTTTTAAAGTGTTCAGTCATTTCATTGCATAGTACAGAACTGGTTACATATGGCTACTCATAGCATGGCCCGCAGTCATGATCTGTGGAAATTTCCAACATGAAGTAATAGAGATAAGGTTCAAGGGGCTCACAATGTAGGACTTCCAACATGTGTTTTTGTAAGTTAGACTTAAATACAGTGCTTCCCACAAGGTGGGGCTTAATGGGGAATTATTACCATTTTGGCTCGCTCCATGTTGATTGAAGCACGTGATTCTAGTACTTGAATAGACTTAAGTTGTTTAAGGACGCTGTAGCCAACTGAACGTGAACGAAGAAATGTATATTTGTGTTTGTTGGTTTTATTTTTAAGAGTTATTATGTTTGGTTATGTTCGTTAAAAAAATTGTTCTGTTTATTTATGTTTATTTGTTTAAATAATAAGTTATTTTATTCAATTCTTGTTCATTTAATTAAATTAAACAAATTTATTCATAAATAGTAAACGAATATATTTACGAACATATATAATTAAACACATTTATCAACATTAAATAAATCTTAAACGAATATAAATAAACTCAAACAAATATAAATAAATCTTAAAATAGAATTAAGATAAATGATAAAAATATGATTTTATTAGTATTATTATAAATGAATAATAAGCGAACGAGTTTTAAATAAACCGTAAACAAACTTATTTGTGAATATAAATGAACAAACAAACAATTGTTCGTGTTTTGTTCGATTAATAAATGAATGTACAAATGATGTTCAAAATTATTTGTTAAATTTAATAAACGAATATAAACAAATAAAAATTGAACATGTTTACGAACAATTCGTCAAAAGCTCTATTCAGTTGCACCCCTAGCATTTGCCTTGGTCCCTCTCTCTTTTGAAATGTCGCCAATCAATATTGTTCACCTCAAAATCTCAAGTAATTGTTTTGCACATTAGACAAACGTTTGATTGCTGATGTTGGTAATAACAAACTTGCTTGTTACTGCCCTTTCAAGCGAAGATGCAAACTTCATTAGAGGGATTGAGCAATGGAAATGAATTAAGAAGAATTCAATAATCTTGCGTAATTCATCAAGTAATAAAAGTATAAAGATGGGAGTTTAAGTAAAAATTTCAAATTTCAATTTATAATGTCATCATTTGTCCCTTAAACAGAACTCTTTAAACTAAAATCACTAAAGATTTTGGTTAATATGTATTCTACTACATTCATACAAGCAAAGTTTAATAAAGACAAATTTTTTTTTAACGTTGCTCAAATTCAAATTTACTGAGAAATTATAAGATAATAATTTTTCATGAATTCATTAAAACGAACAACAATAAGTCCATTTAGACTCATCTGAAAGATAGATGTGAAACAAGATACCATTAAAAATATTTATAATGCTCAATATTAATAATACTTTTTTAAAAAATTAAATTGAAAATTAAGTGTTTATAATGTTTGGTACACAAAATTATAATAAAATAAAATAAGATGATATTATAAATAGAATTAAATTAAATAATATCATCCTATCTATTATGAATTAAATTAAATAATGTCATCATATCTAATATTGGATGTCTGCAAAGATTAGGATAAAATAATTTATTTATTCATCAAAATTATCTTTTTTTTAATTTATACAATTTAAATTATTAATATAATTTTTAAAAGTATAATAGGATATATAAATTCAATCTTATGAATTAAAAATAATTCATTCTACTTTAAAATGATTGAATCATTATATACCAAGAGGTTAATAATTTTTTTATAATTTTATTTTTTAAAAATATAAATCAATTATAATATAAAATTATTATCATTTTATTATATCTATTATTTTATGCATCAAATATGACTTTAATACTTTTAATTGGGTGCAATTCTTCAAATTAACTATAAAAAAATTTTTATTTGAAAATTAAAAACACAATTTTTTTAATCTCCGTGAAGAGTGGTTATTTGAGCTATTTGACAAATTAAGAAAGTGTGGTCATTCAACAAAGAAATAAAAACAACGTTAAAAAAATGTTGGTTTAATCAAAGTCTCATGCTTTAATCTTTTTTTTTTCGTATCCTCTGACTTTAATTATGGTAATAATCAATCGAAGACAAGTGAAAATTCAGCTTCACCAATTTTCATATTAATGTGTGCGAGCACGAGTTATAGTATTTCTTTTCGTTACGTCAATTGAACCGTCTAGGCCCTATGTACTCGAAACAGTATTGTTTTTGCGTTCGGCTCTACATTTGCCGACGCTTAAAAATTTGTTTGCTTTGTTTGTAATTGGAGCGTTAAAAAAGCTCGGGGCCTTGGTAGAGTGTAAACGAGTCGAGCCGAATTGAATAGTGAGAAGTTCGAGTTTGAGCTCGATTCATAACTCGAGATTCGATACTCGGTTCGAGTTCGATCGAATTTTATTTTTCAAGTTCGAGCTCGATTCGTGATCGAATTCGAACTACTCGAGCTCACTCGATTAAGCTCGATTAATATGTAAAAATAAGTTCGATTCGTATACTCGATAAGAGTTCAATTATTCATGCTCGAACTCGGACTCGAAATATTTTATTAATTAAAATAATAAAAATTTATTTAAATATAAAAATTCGATTAGACTCGTGAGCTACTCGAGTCAGATATAAAAATATTCGAATTCGACTCGACAATAATCGAACCGAATTTAAAAATTTTTTTAATCGAACCCGAATAACTTACGAATATTAATGTATCATTTACATTCCTAACTCTCGGTGGACTATAAAGTATAAACCAAAGTGCTCCACCGATGGTTGAAAGTGGCCAGTCATCATTATAAATATATGTGCCTGGAGGATAGCGTAAAAAGTTTATGATAATTAATTATATGATTTGAGGTGATGTCACCTGTCAAAAACCGAACCGCAGCATGCCATTTTTTTTTTAATTAGCAAATCGTTGATCAATAATTAAAATTACCATATGCTATATGCTTTTATTAATTCTCTGAATAATTTTAGAAAGAGAGAATATTATGAAATTATTAGTTGAGATTTGCAATCAATAATGTACTTTCAACGAATTCAACACAAAATTAAATCACACACAAAAAAAAAATAATATTTAACTTGATTCAATTACAACTATTTATATTCAACTACGAAAGAAAAATGTTCATTATAAATATATAAATTAAAAGTAATATAAACATCAATAAATAAATACTAGTCTCAAACCTCTGCTTAAACACAAAGACTACTATTTATCCTATGTAACTTAGTGCATTTTTCAGTTCTTCCTTGCATCCTTACAATTTCATCTCTCACATAATAGGATTACTTGACTACCCAAAATTCATATTCACTAAAAACTATACACATTAATCATATTTATTCCTTAAATAAATTTAATCACCAAGTATAATTCTTTAATCAATAAAATTTCATCAAATCTAAGCATATTCTTGATCAAAATTTTGGGATGAAATTTAACAAATATACATTTTGACACAAATCTCATCAAAATATTGATTTTTAAACAATTTTAACCACATATTATCAGATCAATTCTAACTTCACCTGATTTACGCAACACAACGAATATCGATATGCAATCATATCAACTTCGTCTAATTGACTTTGTAAAGAAACCTCAATTCAACCTTTCTCGGCATGAATTCTCTCTCACTATGTCTGCCTCCACAGATCATAGCCAGCACGATCGAGATGATATTTTTTTTTGTACCAATCTCCCTCAAATAAACGACCAGACTTTTCTTCATGGGAACCTTACCATGTGTATTTTCTTGACAAACTAATATTATATTCCATAAAATTTTTTTAGGACATGTCACACTATCCAAAAAAAAATGTACCACTCACCAAGAGCAAGAGTATAAAATCACAAGAAGAGTGTCAATACCTCCAGAATAGTAAGAATCTCTAAAGTATTTGTGTGCTGTATTCCTATAAAGCATGATCTGCACCTATTGCCTTCGTATCTTCAAGAATATTAATTAATTCTCACCCAGACACAAAAATTCGTTGGAGCACCACTTAATCAATCGAGAATTATT